TATGCAGCTCACAATGATTATCAATGGTGGGTTCCCATGCATTGAGCTGCTCGATATGCCAAAGCCACCCAAAAACCCTAATGCCTCTCACTTTTTTTTTTAAAGAGTTTCCTTGTTCTTGGATTTTGTAATTAAAAATTTCGGTAGGTGAAGAATATGTATAAAAGATTAATATATTATGAATTATAATAAACTTAAATTTTTGGATTTGGTGGTAGTTTAAACATGTACGAGAACAAGAGATTAATTGGGTCCAAATTTGTGTAATATTTTGTCCTACTCCAATTAATATTAATGTATTGACCATCACTTGTTAGGTATTGTGTTGATTTCCAAGGGAGGGCGGAGTTAAAAAAATTTAAGAGTATGGATAAAATTTTACTTTCTGAGGAGGGAGAGAGGGGTATTGGATAGAAAATTTTAAAATCTTAACTTCTTTTTATATAATTTTTTTTACTCATCCTTGTTTCTCAGCTCACTGTATAACCTTATGGCAAGGATAAAAAACTATTAAAGATTTATAATATATATGGTTACGTCTCTATTGATAATTGATTTTTAGATAGAACTTTATGAATTTTGAAAGGGTATCAAAGTTTAGAAAGGCTCAAATGAGCATCGAGTATAAAAATTGTTCAACGGTTGAGAGATTGTCGTAGAAACCAGCTCCGAAATCATCCCATTGGAGCTGTCAACTAAGCACCAAAACGCATTTCAGGGAGAGAACCCGAACCAAAATTGATGAACCCAAAAAGCTATCATTTTAATATTCTCAAATCCTATAAAATCATTTCTTGTCCAACTAATATTTGATAGTCACATGTTGGATCTCGTTCTACATGCTTTGAAGTTTGTGTTAAAGATCCCACATTGGAAAATAAAAAGTACCTTACAATGGTTTATAATAGATATGGACTATCCCTTTCATCGCCAATTGATTTTGAGATGTAACCCAATGAATATTAATAGTTTGGTAGTAATTCAAGGTGATATCAAAGTCAAAATTCTCCCTATTGAACTCGAGGGATATTATTTTTTCTCAAAATGAACATTGATGATTATTTATTGGGTCTTGTGCTAATATCCAATCCGAGCCTAGAAAGGAAGAGTGTGTTAAAGATTTGAAGTGGGTTTTTGTTGGATAAAGCGAGGAGATTCCATGGGAGGGTATTGTGTGCATGTAAACATGATAAAGAGGAGATTTTTGGGGAAGTAGAGTGCTCACTCTGCAAGTAGAAATAAAGAGTGTTCCCCACCATCGCACCACGATGCTCATGGCTTTTGCCAAAAAGAAAAGAAACAAGGTCGAAGGAGGAATTTAAAGGTGGCCATTTTGGAGTTGCTCAGAGGCAAAGAGAACAAAAAGCATTAACCTTTTCTCCACTTCTGAGACTTCTAGGCCCGAACTGTACAAAGAGAGAAGGGAAAAAAAAAGTTGCTTCCTTTTTTTTCCCCTCTCTGTTTCAAACTTCACCTTCTGCCCTAAAAAATTTTAGGGTTTTTCAGTCATTGAAGTTTGAATATTTCTTTTCTAACACAGTGGTGGTAATAACCATACTATGTGATATGCATCAAATAATTCGTTGGAAGATTGAACCTTTGAACTTCGATGAATGTAATTGATATCTTATTTACTTACAGAATTTGCAAATAAATTTAGAGGTTAACTTGACATGAACTTGAGCAAATAAATGTATGATCTAAATTGATCATACGACACCTCGTCCGATGTTGAATTCATGTAGCTTTTAGATGTTAGTGCATAATAAAATCATTTACCACTTAACGACTTCTTCATTTACATGTTTAGATAATTGTTTTGACAAGTTTTATTTTTATTTTTCTTCAATATATATTTGACTATTTTTTTTCTAGTACTGCAGATTGAAAATTCAAACTTTCGAACTTGTTGTCTTGGATAGATGTTACTACTAAATGAAAAGTTTTATGCTTAAGAATTTATGTATAATTTCAATTTGTTCAATGATATATTACCATTTATATGTCCTCTTATATAGTAGTTCTTAACAGAATTTTTAAGTGGAAATAGAAAACTATATTTTAAAAAATATTCCTCGAACAAGCACGTAAATTATAACTTTTTAATAAATTACTAGAGACATAGCAAGACCTAAAAATATAAGTTAGATTATAATGTTGGTGTCCATAATTTGAAGGCTGTATTTATTTGGTCTCTATATTTTAATTTTTTTTTAACTAGTCTTTAAAGTTTTGCGTGGAAGAGGTAGCCTCGATAGCAAGGACATGACCTTGTGTATCACATGTCTTGAGTCTTGTATTTGAACCTTTGTGTAACCTTAATTTAAAAATTCTTGATGCTCTTTGGTGTCTGGTTTCGGAGTGGGCACAGGTGCCCCCAATAATTAGTTATGAGGGTAAAAAGCTAAAGAGCTATCGATTTCGATTTTAAAAAAATATTATTAATAATGCAATAACTCCGCTAAAATTTTATGATCGTATCTATTATTCAATCTTTGTGTTTTAGTTTAGTCAATAAGCTTTCAATTTTGCATC